GAAGCTTGGTAATGGTTCAAACGTTTGTTTTTTTGAAGTTGGTTCGAATCTTGAAGATGAGTGTCTTTGAGGGGTCTTTATTAGATCAATATCAGTGTCTAATAGTAGTCTTCTATCTCTATCAAAGGAGTGAGAAGAACGTGGTATAAATGAGTTATTTGCAGAATCGTTTGTTGGAGAGGAGATTAAAGGAGTTGAGTTTAAGGGAGCAGCTAGAGTTTGTAAGGAAGGTTGAAGTTGTGGAGAGTGTTGAAATTGTTGGTATAATTGATTTTGAGATTGATCAGTATGACTTGGAGAATTATTGTTGTTATTATTTGATAATGCTTTGTTGTTATTATCGCTGGAGGATTGTTGTTGAGTATTATTGGAGCTGGAGATGGTGGTCTGAGAGGAAGTGATATTAGATTTAGCAGATTTTGATTTTGATTTTGATGACAAAGAAGAAGTTGAAGATGAGGAGGAGGATGAAGAAGTTGAGTTGTCAGTTATTATTACGGATGGGGGAACAAGGCTGTTGTTAGTATTGTTTGAGTTTGAGTTATTATTTGAGCTAGAAGTAGAAGCAGAGGTGGAAGTTGTGTTTGAATCGATTGAGGATGAGCTATTTATTGATTTTGATTTTAACGATTGATCATTTTTTGAAGAAGAGATTTTTGATTTATTTTTATTTGAATCAGAAATTTGATTTGAGTTATTGTTTACATTATTGTTTACATTATTGTTATTATTATTGTTATTATTGTTATTATTGTTATTGTTATTATTAGTGGTAGTATTAGTATTAGTATTAGTATTATTGTTATTGTTATTGTTATTGTTACTGTTATTGTTGTGAATTGAATTTGAATTGTTTGAACCAATTGAATTAGAGTTAGAGTTGGATGAAACATTTGTATTACTGCCAGAGCTACTGGTACTTGTTGCTGAAGAAGGCTGAGATTTATGATCTTTATCTTTGTCTTTCTTTTTAGAAAAGGTTTTTGAATCTAAAGATTTAGTTCTTTGGAGAACTCTTTGCTTAAAACCTTTCATCATTTTATCCATTTTTATATTAATTTGGTGATGCTGAGGGAAGAACAAATATGGTTAATAGTCAATCTGATATTGCTATTGTTGTTGTTGTTGTTAGTTTAGCCTAGTTTAACTGAACTTAATGCTAGCTTGATGCTCTTGTACTGATCTGGTATAGTTTAGATTCAAAAACTAGTCTTGGAACAAACTCTTTGGCGCAAACCACAAGTTGGAAAATTTTTTTAGAGTGCCAGTCTGGATGAAAATTAATTAACCAAAAACAAGCAAAAGATAGGAGAGAGATTGGAATTGCAACAGGAGACAGGAGAGTGGAAGATGCAAAGCAGAAAACAAATCCAGAAAGAAGCAGAAGACAGTGAGGACAAGAAAGCACGAGAAGAAGAAGAATTGTGCCAGCTTCGCTCAGACAGGTCTGGAGAAAGATATAATCAAGAGAGTGAGAACAGTGAAAGGTAAAGTTACAATTTGTTATTTCAGTGAGGCCTACTGGATATGAGCCAAGTGGAAGGTAGCTCGCCCGCAACGCTGGTTTAGAGACAGCGCGCTAGGTGCAGACAGAGAAGTGTGAATGAATACACACGCCGAGAGCCATGCAGGTGGTATCTATATTTGGACTCCGTGTTGCTGGTATCAGCCACACCCATGGAGTGTGCGTTCTAATGCGTATATATGCACACATAGACAGACGCCATCAGATCCACCAGTATGGGTACTGCCGCAACTCCGACCGGCCAATCAGATGTCGCGGAAACCAGATTATCCTACTTTTCAGGCCTGGAGAATCAAAAACACATCAAAGATTAGAAACTCAGTGAGATATAGAATCACCTCCATCGACCAACGACACAGTCTCATCCCACAATATCTTCTTTGCAGAATGAGTTTCTTAATCAAAAGCAAGACCTTGGGAATAATACCTAGAACTGCCCCAATACTCTCTTTCACACTTTACCGAAACGCTGCTTCCTATACTTTGTCAAGAACCAAACAAATCACCCCTACACCATTGGAAACAGACTATCCTTTAATCTCCCTGTACAAACCATCTTCAAAACTTGACTATGTTCTCACCTCTCTTGATGGCATTATGAATTGGGCCAGAAAATCGTCTTTTTGGCCTGTTACCTTCGGTTTAGCATGTTGTGCTGTTGAAATGATGCATCTTTCCACCCCAAGATATGATCAAGATAGATTGGGTATCATTTTCAGAGCTTCTCCCAGACAAGCTGATATTATGATTGTTGCTGGCACTTTAACTAATAAGATGGCTCCAGCTTTGAGACAAGTTTACGATCAAATGGCCGAACCAAGATGGGTCATTTCAATGGGCTCTTGTGCAAATGGTGGTGGTTACTACCATTACTCATATGCTGTGGTTAGAGGTTGCGATAGAATTGTGCCTGTTGATGTCTATGTTCCTGGCTGTCCTCCAACTGCCGAAGCTCTTATGTATGGTGTTTTCCAATTACAGAAAAAGATGATGAATACCAAAACAACAAGATTATGGTACAGATCTTAGGCCTTACATGCTATTTATTTTGTATCTTACTCATTATCATTCATTCTATATATCTCATTTCAATTCAGCTCACTCAATTCAACCTCAATCCTCAATTCTCCATTTTACATCAAATAACATGAAAAAAATTCTAAAGAATATAACGAATACAATCTTACAATCTTACAATCTTATGCTTTAATGATTCCTTGATTTGCTGATAATTATTCAATTTAATATTCAATTTAATATTCATTCAACTACTTTATTCCATTTTATCCTATCCTATCCTATCTTATCCTATCCTGTCTTCTTTCCTATTTTCTATGTTATAATAAATCACATATAACAATATAAATAAACATTACAATTATCCTAGTTTAATTATTGAATTATTTCAAATTTTAAGCCTTTTTTTTTTATTTTATCTTATTTGGTTACTATTATTCATTAATATATTTTTTATCATTTTTATATATTTACTTAACAAAAACAAAAGAACAAAAAAACTTAATAACTAGAACTATTAATTATAAAAATCAAAGACAAATAAACAATTTAACAAAATTATACAAACAAGAATAAATATGATTAACAAAATGCAAAGCAAATAAAAATATAAATGCAAAGCAAATAAAAATATAAATAAAAACATAAATAATAACACATACTAAACATAATTAAAATATTAATGTATTTACTTATTTATCATCTAAATTTAAACACACACAAAAACAAAAAACTGAAAATGAACTAAACAATGACTCATTCTGATATTGATTTCCATTATAATTATATCAAGCCTGTAAAATTACTATTATTAAAACTAAACGAAATGAATATTCTATTTTTGAACATGGACTTTTGAACTTATAAACTCATAGTTCTCTATCTAGGAACTAGCTGTAGTTGGAACTGGAGCTGGAGCTGGAGCTATATGTGGAGTTATAGCTGGTTCTGGTGAAGTTGCTAAATCAGGATTAAGGCTGGGAGTTGGGTTGTTCTTTGTTGCATCTTTATTTGTATTTTCTTCTGTATCTACTTCCATTGCTTCATAAATTGGTTGACTGTTAATTTGAAATTTTGGATTAGCCGACCCGTTAGATTTGGTATTATTCGATCCATTAGATTTAAAATTATTAGAATGCTCAATAATCTTATTGTTTTTATTATTTTTCTCCAATAATTTGACATATTCCTCTAGTTTTTTCCAATTTTCTTGTCGAATTCCATCTCTTTTCTTGTTTTCCTTTACTGTTTCATGATATAATGAATGGCATTGCTTGTAAAGTGCACCATGCTTACTTACAAACATTCTTAATGCGTTCATTGCAAAATTTGGAATAGTCTTTTTCCAGCTATTTGGGCTAGAATTTGAGTCAGAATTTGGGTCAGAGTTTGGATCAGAACCTGGATCATATCCTAAATATGACATATTGGGGTCGTAATTTTCATCAAGCACACTGAATCCATTAAACATTTCATTAAGCGAATTTAGAACTCGATCGATGTTCGGACGTTCTATAGACGCAATTTCGTATAATGAAGGAAAAATTATGGGTAAAATTGATTCAGCATTTTGATCAACTAATTTTATAAAATAGAAATTATTCCAATAGCATAAAACTTTTTGAGCAACTTCGAAATGTGACGATTGAATACATTTTGATAATTGAACGAATAATGGAACTTGAATTTTTACAAATTCTGAGGGTATCATAACTTCAAAAATGTCTTCAATTTCATTTAGAAACATGATTTCCTTTGGTGAATTAATTTTGGGCCAAAATCTTAGTAATCCCATTATAACATCTTCAGTTAATGAGGCATC